AATGAATAATATTCGCCACCGTCATATACTTGCTATATCCGTGGCGGTTTATTGAACGGAGCTACAATGAACTACGTGGTCTGTGGCATTTTCTGTAGATTTTTCTACCGCAATGGGGCATGTTCTCCTTTATCCATTGAATGAAGCAAAATCATGTGCAACATGGGCAAAAGACTTTGTATTTGTCACACCAATTTAAGATTGCTACGACGAGTACAGATGATTACAAATCTCGTCCATATAGATATTTTTCATTGCTTGCCAAGTTTTGGTGCCCTAATATGGAAAGTGGCGAGAGCGGCATTTTTTCTAGGAACTATGGAAGGAGCGAAATAAGAGAGTTTTCGAGAGGGGCGTTTTACCTTTTGATGGGATTCTAAATTATATATCTCATTCTATTTGGAGCTGGCTGAGTGTTACTAAGGAGTGTTGAGGTATCGGTCAAACAGATGTTTTGTTAAACCTCCACAATCTTATCTATCTAAATGTCATCAAGAGTAGGCTTTTGGGTAGATGGGTACCACGTGTACATGGTTATTTTAAATTGAACTTTGATGGCAGTTCTTATGGTAACCCGGGAGAAGCAAGGATTGGGGTATAGTGAGAGATTCCTCTTGAATGGTTATCTTTGATATTTCTCTAGGTCATGCCAGTCATGCTGACCTAGCAGCACTTCTACAAGGGTTAAAGCTTTTTAAATCTAGAAATTTAGGTGTTTCTTGCATGGTTTAGGGTAATTCATTGAATGTAATTAAATGGTATACAAATGAGCAACGTGTGCCGTGGTCCTTAAAACCTTTGTGGTGCAAGATCCTTGATTTTGCCGGAGGGTTGATGGTGTCCTTCTAACACATCTACAGGAAAGCAAATACTTTGGCAAATTCTTTAGCTAAGAGAGGGGTGAAATTGTCTTTGCTAATGGTTTCTGATGATGTAAATTAGTTGTAATTTTCTTTTAGATCAATAAAGTAATTAACATTAGTAAAATAAAAAATAAAAATATGTAATACTTAAAAGGAAAGGTTTATATAGAGCCGAGGCTCTAAACAATTAAATTGGAGCCTACCTCAAAAATTTCATTAGAAGATGTTGTTTTGATGCCCAAATATCTTCAAATTGATCATCTCAACATCAAAATACTTGGACATGAGGAATAATTAGATTTCAAGTTTTTAAAATAGTGTATTTTGTTATGCATTTTTGGACCGTCAATTTTCAAGATTTTCAAGTTTTCATATATTTGTATTTTTTAAGCTTTAAATTTTATAAATAAATATGAAAAAAATATTTTAAGGCTATCACAAAGATTTCGAATAGTGAAACCACATATCTTGACACTATTTGAAAGTAGGCTCTAATTTGATTGTTTAGAGCCTAAGCTCTATACAAACCGCACCCATAGGGCCATATGAAAATTTTTAAATGTTTTTTTATTTTTATAAAGAGATATCTCCGTAAGATGAAAACAAATAGCATGTCATCAAATACTAATCCAGGTAAGTTTTGACCCCTTTGGATGAAGTTTTAATGTGTTTCATGATTCATCCCCTACACCATGTTTTCCTATTTGCGAAGTGCAGGCGGTTCGAGTCAGGTACAACCGTACAAGAAGAGAGTGCAACGAGATTTCGCGCGCGTCACTGCTGCTCTGTGTCTCTGTGTTCGCATAAGAGAGAGAGAGAGAGAGAGAGAGAGAGGACCGCATGCAGCCATGCACCAGTAGAGAGTGGGATTTATTGCTCGTAGGCAATCAGAACTAAAAATGGCCTGAATTCATGAAGCAAATGTTGACGCACTCTCTCCCTTTCTCTCCTCTCCCTCAAATCCCCATCCTACACACTAGACGTCCATTTCCTCTGTTTATGTCCAGGCCCAAGAAATCCATTCTCGTTGTTAGAGCAGAGTTCTCAGCTGGTGCTGCCTCATGGTTTCAGGGCATTGCAGCTGAAGCACTTGGTGGTTTTAGGTTAGGACAAGATTCAGAGAGCAATGGAATGGTAGCTGAGAACCCTAATAAGAGAGTTTCAGGAATCAGGGCAAATGCCAAGGAGAAGTGGGCTCGAGATAAGGAGAGCTACCTTAGCAAGGATGATGCTCTTCCTCTTCCCATGACTTATCCTGATTCCGCCCCTGTCTCTCCTGAAGAAATCGATGCTCGCCTTCGTTGTAACCCTCAAGTCCAGGTATTTATTAAGTTTTTTATTTTTGCTTTTTATTTTATTCTTAGATTTTTAATTTGAGTGTGAATATTGAATGCTGGCATTTTGCGCCTGGGGTTCACTGCTTATCCGTGATGAGTTTCCAATAGTTGATTTTTGTCACCACAATTGATTTTTCTATATTTTTGAGAACGTTAAATTGGGTTTGTTTTGAATAAAAAGCATTAAAAGATCAGATATTTGCATTGTTATAAAAATTTCTTATTTTATTTTGTTCCCCGGCAATTTCCATTCTCTGAGTCTTATCATCAGCTAACGTATTTCTTTTGAGAGATTGTCAATTGGGTTAGTTTCTGAGAACTGGTATCTCGGGCTTAGATATTTTGTTTTTGTTAACTTTTTATATTTTAATTGAATATTTTATTCAGGAGGTCTTTACTTAGTTGTTGGATCAGGATTGGAATGAGAATTGGTCTAATATATCATCTTACTTATATGTTTATCAGAAATTGCATTTTGTGAACTACACAGCAGTGGAACTTGTTTTGAATGAGAGCAATGGGAATGGTTCCTATGTGTATCGATACAAAGAGGAGTGAATTTGTTTTTTGAATTCATTTTCTTTTTTTATGAAAGATTTTATCACACATTTTTTAGCATGTTTTGGGTGCTACAGGACTGCAAGGAAGTTGTATATGAATGGACTGGCAAATGTAGGAGTTGTCAAGGTAGTGGTTATGTCAGTTACTACAATAAAAAGGGGCGTGAGACTGTATGCAAATGCATCCCTTGTCTCGGAATAGGTATTGCTCATCTCATCTTATTGCCTCATTTTTTCTTAAAATGATGTTTCATTGTTCTTTAGTTTATTAAGGAGAACTTCACAATGTGGTTCGTAGGAAATGATTACGAAATTGTTATGTAAGAAATTATTGACATGGTTTTTTCTCAAATAAATAAATAAAATGTAATGGTTCTTTATCAATTATACTTTCTTTTCGTTACAAAATAGTGAAACTAGTAGATTGAAATATGGCCATTTCTTATGAGTGAAGTCATTGGACAAATGACATTAGTTTCTATCTCTATAACATCACATGCTATGAAAATTAGGTCCTATATGTTGAAGGTGTTCGCTTGTTAGAACTTTATTTTCCATCATTAACCAATCAAACTAGGTGTTTTGCCCGTTGTAAGTAACATAGAGATATCCATGCTAGTTATTCCCATCGTATATTTTATACTTTTCACAAGGCTTCCAAAAAAAAAAAAAGAGAGAGGAAAAAGAAAAAAGAAAAAGAAAAACCTCTCCTTCCCATGTTTTACAGACTCGTGAAAAATTGATACGTACATGTTCATCACTTTGATCTATTTGCAAGCCTTTTTCGCGTTTGCAATGAGAATCAATTTGGTAACTAGATAATTATAGAACAAAAGGAACTAATATCCAAGTTTGACAATACCCAAGTTCTTTGAACTAGCATCTCATTGTAAGTCATGCGTTTCCCCTTCTTTTCCTCAAGGCCTTTTGGATGGATCTGATTCCCTTATCCTTAAGTTTCCTTTCCTTTAGGTTTCATATCTAGTCTTTTAGAAACCCACATCTGAGTCCTGATTCGAGCAGGGCCCATTGCAAGTTGGCTCGGCGAGTTTGCTTGAATCCCCAAAAGAGGAAAGCATATAAGGAAAAAAAATGCTCAGAAGGGAAATAAATATGAAAAATGAGAGGAAAAATTGTACATATATTTGGACAAAGAACTAGAAAACTTATACGTATTGAGGGTGTAAACAAGTTTGGCCTATTTCACTAATTGCAAGTGCCATACATTATGTGGTGGTTCTATGCTAGCACATAGCAATACTCACATTGAGAGGAACATACCAGGTAAATGCATTCTAAGTGGCTCGAACTACGGTCGACATAAATGACTTAAAGTACAACCAATGTGAATGAAGGGAATCATCGTTGTCATACCGACTATCTCTGTAATGGTTCAAAAGTGACTCTAATTGTTGGGTAACTTTGATATCTGCTCCTGAACTAATGTCCCAAAGGCTAGTCTAACACTTGTGCTCACTTCCACCACAATGCTTTTGCTTGCTCTCACAACTTCGTCTCTCACTATCCTCTGCTTCATTGGCCTCTTCATAATCCCCTTGCTTGTCAAATCGTATGCCTGCTCCAACTTGTACATCTTCATTCCCAATCTCCTAACCTTCCTCATCAATGGGCTCGAAACCTTCGAGTTCCCTCTTATTGAGAGCTGGAATCCAACTTGTACATCTTCATTCCCACTTTCCTGACCTTCCTCATCCATGGACTGCAAAACGTTTTTTTTCCCCCCCAAACCTTCTAGATCCCTCTTATTGAGAGCTGGAATCCACTTCCATCAAACACTCTATTCGTATCCTCTACAAAGATGTGACCCAAATTGATAGGGTTGTATTCTCACATTCCCTCCTCAACTGGAACTTTGAGAGGTTAAGGTTGTAATGGACATAGACCGGCTTGAGAAGGTTGGCCACAACTAAATTTTTTCTCCTTGGCCTGTGGATCCACTAGAATGTACTCCAGTTTTGCTCACACCCTGTAGGGCAATACATTTGGCTTGGCACCTTGACTGCAATTCTTTGTAGGTGGGGAGCTCTACTATTGTGAACTTGTCACTACTTTGCTGGAAAAGGAGAAAGTATTTATAAGAAAGGAGTCAAATGACAATAGATGTGCAATAGAAAAATTTAGCTCTATAAGAACTTGATAGTTAATTTGGATCTAGTGGAATGTGAGATCTAATTTAGGTCTAAAGTAACATGAAAGTTAACTTGAATCTAGAATCTAGTGTTAGATAATAAGGTCTTTTGTAAATCTCCCTTGCATATCCATACAATGAGATTTACTATTTTACAAATGTTGCTTACATAAATGCCCTAAGTTGGGGAAAGTTCTTCACAAGAGCTCTTACATCCTTAAGAGCTTCAAGCTGAGCTGTTCCATCTTGCGCAAATCTATTGATTCGATATCTGACCTGCCTTTATGATCTTGAGGTGGTTTGTTGTACATAGCATAGAAGTATGCTGAATTGAAGAAGAAACCTAGATTACAACCACATTTAAACAAATACTTGTGATTAATTATGTGAACCATCAGCATGGCATAAACATAATAAATACACCTGTAATCCAAATGGCTATAGTTATTAATATTTAATAGTTATACCATTATCTGCTCAGTGTAACCACTTATTCCCTTACTCTTGAAGTGCATATAACTTTGATGGCCTGTTTTGCACGATCAACTGCTTAATACAAGATTGCCACAAGAGGGGCCATAGCAGCTACAACTTGCTCACACCTATCCTGGAACGTTTAACCATTTGTTATCTCCTCAACTTCTCCTGCAGCCCGAATCCTTGAGAGATGGGAGTTGATCATTCATTTAAGGCAATCATTGTTTTAAGGCTAGCTTGCTATTTCAATGTCAAATCGTAATAAATCGAGCTAGAAAATCTAGTGATGGTTGGTCTAATCATTTCCCCACCCTCTATGTAGTGCCTCATTGTGCTGATAGCCATGAATAGTTGTACGTGAATTTCGTTATGGTCTTCCCCTTCTTAACATAATCTTTCACCTGCTTCAGTTCCTCAATAACTTGAAGCGCTTGGTCGATGTAGTGGTATGCACAAGGACTCCAAAATGCTTTCTCTTCCTCTTCCACATCAACCCCTTTCCTGCATTTCCATAGTTCTTTGCATTTCAGCTATGACTAGGACTATGTACTCCTTACCAATAAGCTTCAACACATCATCCAATAGCATGAACAATAGCTTCCATCTCTTGATCTTATGTGAGATATAGTGTCCACACTAGTATGGAAGGTTGTCCCCGGTGGACAATATACCATGAAATTAATCGATTTTCTCATAATGGTAACTCATGTTCTCTGCCACATAGCTTTGTAGTCATCCATGTATAGGTAAACCTCAGCCACGTCCTCTCCTAAGCAGAACTGACTAAGCTCGTATGCAATGGGAGGCTTTCTTCTCTGGCCCTGCATTAGCTGTTGTGGAATATCTGGAAGTCAATGTTTATTATATTGAAAGGAGACAACATCATAGAAGAACTTCACAATCACCTTTATCACATGCATCCTTACAGCTATAGTGAAACTTTACCTGATGGTCTCTTCTGATGATGATTTTAAAAGGAATGGGCCAAGTCGACCATCGGAGGCTGCATTCGATGGGTGGGTTGAGTGGTTTATGGAGGTGATCTAGCCTGTGCTCCTCACTCCTTTCCCCTCTCCATCATGCCAGTAGATCAAAATGAATCCACTGTGCTGCCCTCATATCGTCAACAACGTGGCTCTAGCTGGCCTAAAGGACTCCTGACCTCTAAATCTCGCCACATTGCTCGAGTGCCCTTGAGGAAACCCATCCTTTGAACCTCCACATCCCGCTTTGTTGGCCATATATATCCTCTAAACTTGCTCTGCATGAAAGTTTGAGTTGAGCCTCGAACTCATCCTCCCCCTCTGGTGACAAGGTGCATATTATTGGCTTCCAATAACCTCAACTTTCTTTTTTTCGTAGTCTTCTTCGCCTTTCCCAATGTGACAATTGCCAGCATTCGTTACTTTACGTTCATTGGCACCTTATTACAGCCGCCACATCACCCCTCACCTTTGTTTGGTGATGTTTCAAGTGGTTCATACCACCACTCAACTCCTTTGCATAAAATACAATCCAATCATTTTTCCCAAGCGAGATCCTTTATCTCTTACGACATACCCCAAATCGAAAGCTATAGCAAGTAGCGAGTGGCAATTAATTAGTCTTGGAACCCAAATATGCACACCCACATGCATTTCAATGGCAAAGAAATTGTTCGTCTCCTTTTTCTAAAATAAATATTGTTTACAGTCAAACAGAACGCATTTGGTTGGGAATTGGTGTTCCTAAATGTATTAGAAGTGCACACACATGTAAGCTATCCGGAAAGCATTTTAAAGCCTCCCAAATTGTAAATGTCCAGTTTTTTCTCAAAGAATTATTATTTACACCCAAATGGAATGTGTTTGGGTGGGGATTGGCACAACTAAATGCTTTAGACATGCTAGCACAAATTCTCAAAAAATAGATATGCAAACAAACACACATATATTAAAACAAAATATATGTTACTAAAAAAATTGCTGATTTTCCTTTTTTTTTTATAGAAACATGATTTGCACCCAAACAGAATGTGTTTTGGTGAAGATTGGCATCCTTAAATGCATTAGATGCACACAAAACATGTAAAAAAGCAATTTTATGCTAGAAAAGGGAAAATATGGAATAAACGTAGGGGGAAAAAAGTGAAATAAAGGAAATTCTGAAAAATTAGGAATAATTGCTTGGTATCAAGACTAATTGGTGAAGACCAGTTACTTCTACTCCACGCAAAAAAGATAATTAAATAAAATAAAATATTTACGAAATAATCCTTGCTACAATAATAGATCATTACCTTTTCTCATTTCTAGATATATTTCTATAAATTATTGAAAAAAAGGTTAGATATTTGAAGGAAAAATTAGATGAACTAGCTATTGCTTGACAAATGAAAGTCATTTCTATGTGAAATGCACCCTAGATCCATGTTTTTTTTTTGAGAAATAGGTTGACTGTATTAATAGAGTAAAGAATTACATATCTATCTAAACCTAAGATGGCAATCCCACAAATTGGGTGCTTTGACAACATAAGTTGAGATGGGGAGAGATAAGAAAAGAAGAAGAAATAATATAGAAAAGCAAAGGGGAAAA